GTCTCGTATGTGGGTTCCAAGTTAGTCTTTTGTCTAGAAGGAAGCCAAGGTAACGGACTGTATCTGAGTAGGGAAGTGGTATTGAATTGAAAAGGATTGTGGGACAGGATCTGCGTCGCATAGTGAAAGTAATATGTTTACATTTTGCTTCATTGATTTTAATGCGCCAGTCGTTGCACCACTGCTCTATCAAGGAGAGGTGAGATTGTAGGTTTTGAGATGCTATTTGAGGATCTGAGTGGGAGGATAGAATGGCAGTATCATCGGCAAATGTAGCTAGGAAGGTATCGGGATTTGGAGGGATATCGGCACTGAAAAGGATGTAGAGAACTGGACCCAAAACACTGCCTTGTGGAACACCAGCCTCAACTGGATAGTAAGTGGAGAATTCGGTGCCGCAACGGACTTGGAAGGAACGATTTGAGAGATAGGATTTGAGGACTAGGTATAAGGATTGGGGTAAATGGGTTTTGAGCTTGAAAAGCAAGCCATCGTGCCACACCCGGTCGAAAGCTTGCGCTACGTCCAGAAAGGCACCAGTGCAATATTGCTTGTTTTCAAGTGCAGAGGATATATGGTCCACAACACGAAGGCCTTGTTGGACAGTGGAATGTCTTGAGCGGAATCCAAATTGATGAGAAGGGATGTTGTGGGATTCGAGTATGGGTAGGATGCGTTTGAGGAGGATTTTTTCAAAGATTTTTGAGAGGATAGGGAGTAAACTTATCGGTCTGTAGGATGATGTGTTATTAACGGGTTTGCCTGGTTTTGGAAACAGCACGATTATGGAGTGTTTTCACATCAAGGGAAAGTTGGTAGCACGAAGGATGCAATTATATAGATAGGTCAGGAATATAATTGATTTTTTGGGAAGTTGTCTAAGGATTTGTGAAGTGAGGAGATCATATCCAGGGGATTTTCGGGGTTTTAATTTGTTTATGAGGAATTTGACCTCAGAGGGGTTAACAGGTTTTGGAGGTAGAGAGAGAGGAATTGGTGAAGAGAGGAATTCTTTAACTTCAGCAGTGTGGGTGGGATGGAGTTCGGGATGGGGAGTGAATGTGTAGGATAGATGTTTAGCAAACTCTTCAGCTCTATTCGCATCTGACGAAGCCCAGGAACCATCATCACGGCGGAGGGGGTGGGAAATGGATTGGACTTTAAGGATTTTTTTAGTTACAGTCCAGAGGGAGTTATCACTATATGATAAAGAGGAAAGGTAGGAATTGTAGGATTGGGTTCTAAAGATATCCAGTTTCTTTTTTACCTGTTTGGAATAATAGTTATATGATTTCCGGTCATCAGGATGCCTGGTTCTTTGCCAGAGGGCCCTAGAGCATCGTTTGCTATGAATAAGGTCCAATAGGTCTTGGGGTAGAGGATTTATATTGAGGTGTTTTTTGGGACGATCAGGTGAGGATGCAGTCCAAACTGCTTGCTGGATCAGGGTAGTAAAGGAGTCCACTGCATCGTCAAGGTCTTCAGGTGTTTTTAAGGAAACTCTGAGGTCTATATTATCATCCAATATTTGACGGAAAAGGTTCCAGTTAACTGGTCCCCTGATAAATGAAGGAGAGGATGATTTAGAAATGGGTGATGTGGAAGCGGTTAGGACTATAGGACTGTGGTCTGAGGAAAGATCGTCAAGCCTTGAAATGGAACAGTGTAATGATCCTAGACCTTTGTGTAGGAAAAAGTCTAGAAGGTCGGGATTGCGGTTGGGATCTGTTGGCCAGTATGTGGGAGTATTAGGTGAAAGGATGTTGCTGCGATGGGAATTAAGTGCAGATAGCAGTGTTCGCCCTCGGGAATTTGTGGATCTGGCTCCCCATTGTTGGTGTTTTGCATTTAAATCTGCACCTAGGATGAAATGGTGTCCTAAGGAATTCAGGAAGGAAATTATTTGGGATTCGGAAATGGGTATTTTAGGCGGGGAATATGCCGCAACTAATGTTATTGGGTAAAGGGAAGTTTGGATTATTACGGCAGTTGATTGTAGGAAATTATGGGTTGGTAAGGGAAATAAATGATGGGAGAGAGATCGGTGGATAATTATACCAGTGCCAGCATGTGCTGTTCCATCAGGATGATCGGTTCTATAAATATTGTAGCCAGGAACGTTGATTTGTCGTTTGTTGGTTAGTCGGGTTTCAGTTATTAGTGCTATGTCGATGTTTTTGTCATGTAATAAGATTGTCAGTTCGTTGATGTGATTTCGAATACCATTCGCATTCCATAGGAGAATGGAAAGGGATTTGGTTGAGGACATTTATGGATTTCTCGGCGGTGGAATGAGGTTGGATATAACATTGGTAAGTAATGAAATAAGAGGGGTGATGAGGGATCTAAATTCAGAGAGGAAAGAAGTTAATAGGCTTGTGAGGTCAGTGGAATTGGAAGGAGGAGGAATGTATGTCTGGGTATTGAACCTAGGTTCAGTTATGGAGGGATGTGGGTCTTGAGGTTGATTTGTGAATTCTCGAGGTTGAGGTTCTTGTGGCAGGGCCTGAGATTGAGTGTTTATAGTGTCTCCTTTGAACATCTGAGCATAGGTCACTCTTCCGTTCACTGTTCTAGAGGGTTGTCTTGGTGGCCTGGATGTCCCTTCTTCTCTAGGAGTTGCGTACATTCTTGTTTTTAATTCTTTGTATGTTTGACAACCCTTGTAGTTGGCAGGGTGCCCTTGGTGGCATAAAGCGCATACTGCAGGTGAAGTTCTAGACTTCGTACATTCTTCTGTTTTGTGTTGCTCACCACACCTCACACATCTAGGAATGTGATGGCAATATCTTTTCGTATGGCCATAAGCCTGACAGTTATGGCATTGAACGATGTCGCGCTTGGGGTAAGGCTTTTCCACAACAACGCTGGTGTAATAAAGGCGTGTGACCTTGTAGATGTCTTCGACCTGGGGCGTTCGGTCAAGGTCAACGAAGAATAGTGGGAGCGGTATTTTACTTTTTATTCCAGGCTGTTCTCTATCCTCCTTGAATATGTTCACTATCTGGCGAACATGGAATCCCATACCCACGAGCTCTTCTTTTATAGCATCAGTTGGCGTAGATGGGTGCAGTCTTCTGATAACGACCCTGAGCGCCCTCTCTTGACGCAGTTGATACGTGTGGTAATCCGCCTTGGTATCAGATAAATATTTTATAATTTTTCTGTAAGTTTCTGGAGTGTCGGGCATTAATTTAGTGTCATTGGTGCGGCTTTGGCATAAATATTTTCCTGAGCCCACTAGGTTATTCAATTGGTGACACATTAACTGAAAGTTTTTAATATTCCTAAGGAATATTGGTGGGGGTTTGGGTTCCCTGGGGGTGGGTGCTGCTTCCATTTCTTCGTTTTGTGTATTTGATAGCACTTGAAATGGGTTCTGAGTGAAAAACGGCGATTCTTCACCAGTCTGAGTTGTCTCATGATTGTTTTGTTGTTGTGAGGTACCAGGTTGGGGATCCACTTCTTCAACAGAGCTCCCTGGTGTGGCTGGTGGAGTATTTCTTTTCGAACGCCTTGTTCTTTTTTTAATAGGAGAACTCATTGTAGTATCGAGGCTCCTGGATCTAGTATTTTTACCCTTGCTCGACATTAGCATATGATAATATCGCATTTCATATTATAAGTGATAGGAAAAATTGTAAAATGAGAAGTGATAACAAAATTTTTTTTTTTTTTTTAACACGGAAATATATACGCGTGCTTAGAGAGGACTGATCGGCACAGAACCTCCTCGGACGGAGAGCCAGAGCCCACTGGTGGGATTAGCGATGTTATGGCTGGCCGTTATCAGTAACTAACCTGAGGTCTATTTACACTGTTCACTATTGAGCTGTAAATAAGTGATTACTCACCTTATTCTTTTGTTCAGTAACAAACTTAATTGTTAATATAACAGGTAACACTGTTGTTTCGCATTAAAGTTGAACACTGCCACTATTAATGAAGAATTTTGTAAGAGATGACCTGACGTATGTTTAACTTAGGCTAACGCATGCGCAGAACCGATTTTAAAATTAAATGCTATAATTACTACATGATTCTAAAAAAAAAATAATTATTGATATCAAACCCTGATCTCTACATTAAGTCGCAGAGAAATCAATAACATTATGTAACTATATTTTTATATTATTGTTTTTACTCCACTTTTTTAGATGGTTAATTTCTTGTATATACTGTCATATGTTCTTTGTACTGTATCTTAGATGCATTTTAAGATCTTGATAAGCATTCCTTAGTTCTATTCAATCTTTATTTTTTACTTTTATTCGGGGATTCACCTACATCTTGATAATTTTACTCCTAATACTAGCTTTCTTTCTTTTTATTATTTATTTATATGATATTTACAACTGTATACAAAAAATACATCTGGTAAATTCGCACATTGGTATAAAGACATGGAACTAATACTAGCTTTAAATCTATCTTACATCTATATTTTGCCAACGCCCAGGAGTCGGTGGGAATGTTATGCATTCAGAATTTGTTAAATATTTTAAAGAATCGTTTAATTTTATTATTCTTCTGTTTATAAATTCAGATGATTTACTCAAATTTAAAATGAGTTTATCTTATTTTTCTTTTTCAAAAACGTGTTTCGAACTATTCTTTTTAAAATTCCATTTTGGAGTCTCTTGCTTGAGTTTATTAAAATGCGGGACAATAGCAAAAGAGAACGAACAATACTTTTATAAATGAGTAATTTTAATCTGATGCTGAGGTTCGGGGTTGTGAGGAGGTGATTAAATTTTTAGGAGTTTTGTATTACATTTAATACTTTTGAAGTGCCACGAGCGGTAAATTTTAGATATCCATCAAATTTAATTCCTAGAATGACCAAGTTACTTGATATTATAGTTTATATTTGCTTCAATCATTGTTAAGAGGTATTGTGAACGATTTAAGGTACGAGAATAGGTGGATATGATGGGTATAGTTGAGGTGAATATGTAGAGCTAAATATTTGATCAATTTATCGAGGGATGAGACTCTACTTAAGAGACGAGAATACGCCAGGAGTGTTTTGTATTTAGGGGAATGGCAAACAACGGGGACCATACATTTCCCTTTGTCAAGGGGAACCATCGTTTAGGATGGTCCATTGTTCTCCTGTCAGGGGCACCTACAGCCTGCTCCCCTCCACCTAACCATCTGATTCCACTACACCTTACCTCCATTGTCTGTCCGAAAGATAGCTGATAATGTCTCCAGTAAGGAGCTTCTTAATTCCCGATCATGAGTAAATCTATTAAAATCTAAAATTTGTATTTCAGATATAGATGAAATATTTTATATTTTTTTCATGTTGTGGGAGAAATTTAATACACAGGTTCTTCTAGAGTTCACGAGTGAAAAAGGTGATAAAGGCTACGGTCTAACTCCTGACTAAAAAACATAAAGTACGAGTTTTCTAGTATTGTAATTTTTATTTATTTATTAGTTATACATATTTGTGGCTCACAATAACTTTGCCATCTACCTCGGTATTCAGCAAATATGATATCAAGGAGAAGAAATGATAGCATAAAAAAAAAAGAATAGTAATAACCAAACAGACAAAAAAAAAAAAAAAAAAGTAGTAAAATAACACATACATAATAACATAATAATAAACACACACACACACACACACACACACAAAAAGATAACGCAGCAAGTATTATAATTAAATAATATTTTTTGTTAAGTAGGATAAAATAACAAATATATTTAATAATTTTACATAAAAAAACCTGTACTAATACAGCCCATGAAGTGTTAGATTCATTGCAGGGATGTGATTGGACCGGGATCAAGCTCAATCACCTACTTTTCCTCCTTAATTAATTTTCGAATTAAGACCCTCTTTATAGAGGCTGGGTGTGTCCCAGGAGGTCTTTAGATCCCAAGTTCGATCCACATCTGATGTAACAGATCAAGTAATTACTTCCTTATTACCTAATTACCCCTTCCTTGCCGTTAAGGCTATACGAGGTTTTCCCGAACCAGTGGATGTGAGCGAGGATTTAAAGAGCTCTCCCGGGACGCGAACTCGTGACTATTTTTATGTCATTGAGTCAAATATCAGGTTCCCGGACAACGGCGGTGCATATTGCACAGATCAAATAATTACTTGCAACAGTCAGACGCTCATCCACAACCTTGAGCCTAGGAATTCAGTGCCTTATTCACTGAGCTACTCCGCTTTTACGGTATACCACAGTTGAAATTTTTTTTTTTAAGAATAATTACAATATGTTTTTCGTTAAAGGCCTGTGAAGATTTTCAAGTGGTTGAGTAACACTATGTTCTAGTTTTCATAAATGGATGGATGGTTCCCGATTTTTTTTTTTTTTAATTAGCCTCTTAGTGGACTAATGATTATCCAGTTTTCAAAAACCTCCCGTGTTTAATAATTAATAATAATTATAAGATTATATTAATATTATATTATATTATTATATTATATTGTACTTATGTTATGCGAAATAGGTTGAGAATTCCATTCACTTTCGCAATATATATATGCCTTGTAAAAATCTGTCTCCTCCAAATCAACATATTTTACTAATACAATTACAATTCGTTGGAATATACAGATAAGTCGAACAGTATATTGCTCAGTGAACAATTTTTTTTTTTTTGTATTTAGTAGGGAATTCAGATCCCTTTAAAATTATTATGGATATAATCCGTAAATTCTAATCTTTTTAAGTTATTTCCCAAAAAGTCTCCTTTCTTTAATATTTTTTCTTCTTATGTTTCTGTAAGGGAGGGAATTCTTATTTTTCAGCAATGAAGGAGATAATATTGTACGTAATGATGGTTCAATTCTTGAATTTAATGACTTACTAACTAATATTTAAATGATATCTGAAGATAATTAGAATGATATTGCTCTGATTCCTGTTCAAAACTCATTCACTTTAAATTAGATTTTCACATAATTACAATATAATAAATAACTACACGTCCCTAGAAATATTTCACTTGCTAATTAGAAGGCTAATGAAGTTGTATACAGACATCAACTGAAATTTATTAATAAGGAAGAAAGGCAGATATAACCATCTTATCTCTCATTCTTAGAAACCTAATCAACGACAAATAACCCATGCATAAGCAACGCTACAACTTAAGTGAACTTAAGTGGCTGCAAACAATTTCTTGTGCATTATCTCGAAAATATTATATTTTAAGACTTTAGAACAGTGTTCGGAACATTCTAAAGAAACATTATATTAAACAACACATTTTTTTTTTTTTAAATGTTTCTTATTAGGTGCAGAAGTGATGTCATTACAGACTTCCACCACTCCTGCACCAAATAAGAAACATAAAAAAAAAAAAAAAGTTGTTCAGGGATCAACCCCTGAAACCCACACACGAAAAATTCTATACAATTCAGAACTTCCCCTCCATTTTGTGGCCTTCATTTTACTGCAAAATATTCCAGTTGAGTTAATCCTATTCATTGGTGAAGTCTGCACACTGACAGATATTGTTCTCCAAAATCACAAAGAAAGAAAGAAAATGAGTTTCTAAATTCAAGAAAACAGCCTGATGTAGGAAGTATGAGGATGAAGGAGAGGTGACCAAAACCATGGATCTTAATTTCAGACAGTAAGTGAGTCCAAATTGAAGATCCGATTTCAATTGAAACAAAATCAATTCTAACATTACAATGCCATACCAAAAATCGTAATTTCACAATCAGTAATATATACTTCATAGGTTAGGAACCACAAAATTGTACAAAGGCACAAATTTTATTTGTTTTGTTTTATTCAATCATATACAATATAATCATGTCCTCAATCTTTTGTTTAAATTGATCATGTATCAAATTTCAGTGATCCAAACCCATACAGTCCACAACAATTTTCACAATCACCAGCGCAATATAACTCAATTACAGATGAATGGGTAATATTCGGCTCAGATCAAATTACCATGATCAAACAGAAATAATTTATCGAACTCCATCACTTACCTTTCTCAAAAGCCTTGAAATTTTATCACCATGTTCCCATGGTGTGACCCATCCTTTGCTAGTGTTGCATTCGATTCCTCTCGTTGCGTTGAATAACTGGCCGCGACGAAGGTTTGCACGGAACATGTCTGGCTTCTTACGTAGCAGTTTGTTAAACGCTTCAACCAGCACAAACACAGCGTCATACATCAAAGCAGCTTGAGCCTAGAACAAATAAAATTAATAAGTTAATGACGAAAAATGAAATATTGGAAAATGTAATGTTCAAATATTAATTTTTTTTTTATCTTAAGTGTGCTTATTTACGGTATATTTTTCGTAGTGTTTTCAAGATATTGTAAATGGGTTTTAATATAGAGAGATGCATAATTTAAAATGTGACAATGTTCAGTAATTAAAGTGAAACAACAGTTTATTCAATAAATTTATTCTAAAAAAACATATATATAAATAAAATAGTAAAAATAAATCTTAAATGTAGTAGCTTATGAAGGAAAATTGATTACTTGTCAAATACCAAACGTTTGGCCTGGATATGTTTCCGTCTTTAATCATCGTATACTATTATCTGAGGAGTGTTTAAAATGTCGGTAATTTGATTTTGTTAGAGGCATCAATTATAACATTACTATTGATCGCTACTGGTGTAAAAAAATGGCGCATCTAGGTAAAAGAATCAAAATTTAAACAGATTACCTTCTCCCTTCGTCGTAATTCTTGTCCAATAGTTTATTTTAACTCCATTCAGCTTGGTTTCTCAGACACAGTCCGGTATCTTGGTTTTCTCTTAGACAGGCGACTAACGTAAAATACACATTCTATACTTAAACGACAGGAACTTAACCGACGATATGTCCAGCTATAAAGACTACTGAATAGAAAATATAAAGTTACAATTGAAAACGAATTACTGATCTACAAGAAAATACTGAAACCTCTCTGGACTTACGGACTAGAACTGTGAGAAACAGCTAAATTTTCCAACATCAAATGCATCCAATCCTTCCAGTCTAAAATCCTCCATACAATAGTCGAGGCTCACTTGTATGTAACCAATACAACCCTGCTATGTTACCAATAATGACCTTAATATTTCATTTATTCTTGATCTTAACTCAGACAATATTTTCAAATTTCACCAGAACCTTGAACAGCAATGGCCAGATTCTCTACTCAAGACATGAGTGTCTGCGGCGGTAGCGCTCTTACTCACCCTCAGCTGGTTCTAAATGCCAGTGAAATGGTCAGATAGAAACGCAGTGATCTCCTAAGCCTCGCTTATTCTTCCATAAGTGAGGGAATAAGATTGGTTTGGCGTTTCTCCGGCTGATTGTAAATAGATTATATAGGTATGCTTGTATCTAAGATGTTTATTTTTACATATTTATGTATATATATTTTTTTCCTTTTCACTCTCCTTATAATATTTTATTTAATTCTTATTTCTATGTTTTCTCTTGTTATTACTTTATTTATTTATGTTTCTGTATATACCGTGTGAATGTACTCTCCGAACTCTATTATTAGTGTCCTTAACTGAGATAGAGAGATAGATTGTAATATTTCTCAATAATATATATATATATATATATATATATATATATATATATATATATATATATATATATATATATATATATATATATATTGAATTGATATTTATATATTGATCGAAGTAATTATAATGGTCGATCATTGGACTCGCCTAGTTCCAAAAATTTAGTCTACACTCTAATATTCAAAATAAATAATTAAGGAAAACTCATTTTGGAATACTTCTTTACATAAACCCGGATTAAGCATATATAAAACCTAGAGCATATATGATCCATTCTTATTGAAATTGAGGTTGAGGTATTTAATTCATAAATGACGGTGAGTGAATCATGAGGATCAAATTCACCTTTATCTGGAAACCCTCTTGAAGAATATAGCAACGGATGGGAATCGGATGAGCTTAGCATCGGTTGGAATGGGAAGGTGATGCCTGACTTCAAGTTATTTGCGGTGCTCCAACCCATCATCGTGTCCGGGCATCTGACACTCCATCAGTTGGCCGAGTGGGCTTCAGCAGCTCTTCAGTTCAGGATTTTAAATAAAATATTTGAGTCTAGTGAACCTCTAGCCCTCCAAGGATTTCCATGTCATAGACGAGAAATTTTTCACTTGAACTCAGAGAACTTTAGAACCTAATAAGTTTAATCTTAAAGCTACAATGTTTGTATTTATAAATGGTGAATAACATCCCGTTATTCCGTCTTTTCTCACAACTTGGTGGGCCCTTATTATTTACGCCGGTTTAATTAATTTAAATAAAAGCTGAAACAGACTCGCTACTGTGATATGATACAGCTGAAACTTGTGTTTATAAACGTTATAAAGACTGATTTTTCTTAAAATTACGGTTTCATTTTTTTAAACTTTTTGAAGCTTTGAAATGAATATTCGGATAAAAAAGTAATGATGAAAAAAAAAAAAAAATTAATAAAATAAAATTCAGGAATTATTAGTTATGGAACAAAATAAGGTCGATGAACAACTTTACATGAACACCCTAATATTCAGATTGAAATATTTCTGTTGTTGTTGCTGTTTAGGGCTTACTGGCATAAACCACCAGATCAGCAACTTCTAATTAAAATATTGAATTATATAGGTAAATTAATTTTTTTTTTTTTTCAAATTATCGAAGAATATATAAACTTGAGCTAATTATTTAATTTTAATTTTGATTAAAATATTTCTGATCACTTTGATTGATTATTCAAGTTTTTCTCAATATATTAAACATTGATATCATCAAAAATTACATTATAGCACAATGGACGTTAATAATAAATAATATTCATTCATTATAGAGTCAAATAATAATATTAATATTTTAATAAACAAATTTACAACTCTATAGCCATATCGGTTGTGTTAAAATATAATTTTAAGATATATAATAAATGTTTTTTTTTGTTTTTTTTAGCATCATTGCTTTAAGGTAATATAACTATTTTACTAGCGCCGAATGGCCTAATAGCCAACGCCAGAGCCGTTTAATAAAAAAAAACTATTTTGCTGGTATAGGGTCTGTTATTGTTTAATAACTACTGATTTCATCATAGTCTTAATAACTACTGATACAAACTTAAATAGTTTTCCTAAGATTCTGTTTAAGATAGGGAAGGTAGGGCAACGGCGCTGCATGCTACCCTCCCAGCACAACCACCCAATCTGTTTCTAAATTTAAATTTATTCATCATATCAGACTGGAACGGCCAGAAACCGCTCGGCGTTTCCTATTACTTCAGCACTTACTAGGCAAACGCTCTAAACTTATAATTAATTACAAAAGACTCATATGCATGACTATAATAAGGCCTATTGGGATTTACGGAGTTCAGCTATGGGGATCCCACTATACCATCGAATTCCGCTCGTATCCAATCCTTACAATCCAAAATCCTTCGTAAAATCCTCGATGCTCCCTACTTTGTTACAAATAAAACCATGACCTTAATGCTTCTTATGTTTCAGATATGGCTCAATCCAGATACCTATCCTTCCATAATAAACTTCAGAATCATCCCAAACCTCTTGTTTCTAACCTTGCTTCCTCTTCAATTCCTGATAACCCTCCGAGAAGTCTGAAAAGAAGATGGCCCGTGATCTCCTAATGTAGACATATTATTAGAGTGCTACCATTGGGTAGTTACTCAGCAAGTGTTTTCACGTCATTATATCCATATGTTCAAATTTACTAGATGTATTTCTTTAATACAGTTGTAAATATCATTAAGAAATTTAAAAAAAATATATTCAGGTAAGTAAATAGTCCGTGGTACAAACCCCTTCATATCAAAACAACAACATCCGCCTGATATTTTGTAAATAGCTTCATTTCATCGTAACCTACAAATATTTTATTTAAGAAATTTCTCGGCGCATTCAATCTGGAGATAGGCAAACTTTGTTTATTTAATCAAGCACTAAAACTTTATGAATATCCATTTATTTTCCACTTGGATCTTAAGATAATTTAATAATGAAATCAATAAAAAAGGTGGCATTCAAAAACATTTGGCAGTTTGGCTTATTTAACCCCGTTACAAGTCTTTACAATTTGGGGTTGTAGGTCACTCAAAACAGACTAATATTTTTGTAGGTCATCTTTTTTATCGATATCGTTATCGAATTATCTTACGATTCAAATGGAGAGCGAATGGATATTTAAGAGTTTTCAATACCTAATTAAATAGACACAGTTTGCCGACTTCCAGATTGAAAACGTCCTAATTCCAAGGATTTTCGTAAATATAATATTTTTAGGTTACGATCAAGTAAAGTTATTTAATTCTCAAGTACAGCGGACTAAAGTAGTTACATAAATTTTACCTCATTATTGATTAATTTGAAAAAAAATGTAACTTAAATGAATATTAGAGTGCTACCATTGGGTAGTTACTCAGCAAGTGTTTTTCATGTCATTATATAAATTATGTTCTAATTTACTAGATGTATTTATTTAATACAGTTGTAAATGTCTTTAAGAAATACAAAAATGAATATTTAATTATTTTTAATGCGTCAATCTTACGTATCTCTCACCGTACATTACTCAAATAACTTATTTCAGTAAATTCTAATCCCCTCTATGGTTAAAAATATATGTTTTTTTTAGTTTTCTTTTTGTAGAAATTTGTCAGTTGCGTAGTCTAATCTCAGTTAGGCAGCAAACCTATCCTTCATGATCAACATATTTGAATCTTATAGAATGGAAAAAATAAATCTTGGGATTGAGCAAAATAGTGAATTAATGTTATTTTAATTTGATGAACTTTAAGATTTATTTATCGGTGTTTATCATAGATCTCTTGTCGCTCTCTATTTATAAGGACTTCTCGTAGTCTTAATCTGTTGAACCAGTTTACATAAACTTTAGAATTAGTAGCATCCATTTCCTCAGGGCCTTGAGAAATGTTAGAGTTAAAAAGAAAAAATATTAATCGCTAAGTTATCGAGATCAAATTCTCACGTATTATGATTATTAAAAACATGCATGGTCTAATCACTAAACTCGAGTTAATAGAGAAATTTGTTGAACTTAGTAATTTTATTTTAAATTATTTATTTAGAAATATTACAACCTGTCACAATTAAGAACATTTATAATAGTGTCCATAGAGCACATACACACTAACAATAAACAATACAGGAAAATAATAATACTAAAAGTAATGTTTATAAACTAAAATAAACAAAAATAAACCAAACTATTCATAATAACTAAATACACAAATGCTTCTATACGATAATTAAAAAACTTTCATGCACTTGATATCTCCGAGCCAAGCCTTTCTCCCCACCCATGGAAGGAAAGGCAGGACTCTAGGAGATCACAGCGCCTCTTACTCAGTCGCATTACTGGCATTAAAGGACCACTAAAGGCTAAGTAGAGGCGCAATAATCACACATACATGGTGAGCATGAGTGGAGCATCTGGCCATTGCCAAACCTCCAATATACACTAATTCACAAAAGGTATCTGGGCCACTGCCGATTCAACCTTTGAGAAGAATTGTAGGATGGGGCTAGAAAGGATTGCGCAAGAGGATTTAAAGGATTTGTAAATGCCTGATGAAATTTGGAAAAATTTTCGGTGATAAGGTCTAGGACAAATGGGATATTAAGGTTATGGTGTATGGTTTGGTTGGTTACACAGAACGGAGCATCAACTATTGTTCGAAGGACTTTGGACTGAAAGGATTGAATGCGTTTGTTGTTAGAAAATGTTCCTGTCCCCCACAGTTAAAGCTAGCACTTTGCAAGACCAAGACCAAGGCCGCCTAACTGCTGCAAAATCAAGACCAGGTCTGTTAAAAAAATAGATTTTTTAAAATAAAAATTAAGGCAAAATAGTTACTAACACTTGACAATCTTAGTTACTATATGTTAGTAATTGGTATAGCCAATATACTTTTGCATTCAACTGCTCTAATTTTTCATTCGGGCTTAGTTAGGTTTCTACTATTTAAAACACTCAAACTGTTGCGAGATTCTTGCGCAAGACCAAGACCATGGCCAAGACTAAGTTTGCAAGACCAAGAATCGTCTCGGTCTCGCATTTGGGCAACACTAGTTCAATCCCGTATATCCATATATGTTTTAGGATTGTTTGAGATAAGTAATTTGTTTTCAATAGAAAGTTTAGATTTTCTGTTCAGCAGTCTGTATAGTGTGCCGTATCGTCGGTTGAGCTCTTATCTTTTTAGTCTAGTATGTGGGTTCCATGTTAGTCTTCGGTCTAAGAGAAAGCCAAGATAGCGGACTGTGTCTGAAAAAGGAAGCTAGATTGAATTAAAGTGTACGGGTGGACAGGAATTGCGTCGGAGTGTAAAGGTAATAGATTGGAATTTGGGTTCATTCACTTTAATACGCCAGTGATTACACCTGTGCTCAATCAATAAAAGGCGCCTTAGCAGATTTAAGAATGCTATTTCAGGATAAGATTTGAAGGAAAAGATTGCGGTTTCATCAGATCTTAGTATTAATTTATTTTTATCAGAATTGTTTAATTACATATTTCAACAGGAAGCTATTTTTCAAATTACATTTGATTATCTCACTTTACGATAAGAATTTTTTTAAAAGTATTATATTTTAAATAAAATTATCTATGAAATAAACTTAACATAATTCATATGTTAACTTTTTTTTATTTATTTTTTTATTAAAGGCCATACTAATCTTCTCTTTATCGTTCAAATTTTAGTATACTTACCATGAACTTATTATTATTTTCTGTACATGAGGAGTAAATAAACTCATTTATTAATTTATACCAATGCCCTTAGTAGTAACAAAATGTAAACTTACATCAGTAAAGGGAAGAAATATTATACTATCAAATTAAAAGAACCAGTACACGATTGTTCTCGGCTTTTGGTTGATTTATTGATGTTTAATCTGAGAAATTTGTGTTTTTAGTGAATATGCCATGTTCTGTCATGTCTGTTCCAATAATAAGAATACTTCT